TGATATATTCTCACATACAGTACTATTAATAATAACACAGTATTCAATGACTTTCAGGTACTATTTTTTGGTTATCCTGTAATGTCTGTTTGTTCACTGGTTTTGTCCTTAGTTTCTTTAATCCCAAGTAAGTGAATTCAAAGATACCTGACTGTTTAATAAATTATGCCTACTTCTACTGACGAATGAATAACTGCCATGTYGCAAATTGTTAAAGTACATGACTTTTGTGAACATGTAATGTTGAACATCAAGATACCTCCTAGCATCAGAAGAAACCTTAGCAACTGTTAGCCCCGCGGGATGAACTTATAAAGATATACCAAGCTTTTAAAATCATACCGAAATGCACCATTGAAATTAGACCCAGAAGACCCACATAATTCATGAAAGTCTGATAAAAAAACRTCTTTTGCATTTTTCACTTTACCTAAAGTTCATAAGCAAAATGGATTCAAAATAAAATTTGATAAATTCKCTCAAAAAGAAGCAGTAAACAAATATTTACACTAATTAATAAAATGTTTTTCATTTGCTTTTTGTAGGGATTCTTGAAAATGGTTTAGAATATGCTTCACTCACAGAAGATGGCAGCTTTTATGAACAAGACTCTGTAAATATTCTAACATTTTATTTTAAATTTAATATAGTAAAAGGTCCTTTGCATAGAGCTTTTCAAACACCTCAAACAATTTTAGTTTCTATAAAGCCYAGATTCATTTGCTAAATCCTCCATTCCTTGCAGACAGAAACTGTATTCCAAGAAAGAAAATAGAGATAGCTGACCCATGTTTAAGAAAGAAAAATATGTTTGCAATAAATATTTTTCTGGTTGTCTAAGAGTTCCCATCATAGCTGGCTACATTAATACAATCAAAGACATATACATTCACTTAATTACCAATACTAGCATTTTCAATTACCAATATTATTATTTATTCWTTATCAATATTTTTAGGACCCTTTGTATCCTGCTCATTTGAATGAAAGTCAATTAAATACAGATCAGTTTGGCCTTCCACTGGCAATCTTTACCAAAGTAAATGACTGGCAGAGCCAGAAGAAACTAGGATATACATATATGTAGTGTCACAATACATTGTCGCCTGCTACATTTTTTTTAAGTTAATCAGTTTATGAGCTCAAAACATTGTAGCCTGACTGTATTATGTAGCAAAATCTGTGTGCAACCTAAATTACTTGTAGCA